CTCCTCGTCGTCGTCGTCCGCGGCCTCCGCGCCCTGCGCTCCGGCCGCCCCGGCCCCCTCGAGCGCTTCGGCAGTAGCCAACAAAGGCTCTGGCGGCGGCGGTAGCGCGGGCAGTGGGGCCCCTAAGAAGGCGAGCTCGGGGCTGCGGCGGCCGGAGAAGCCACCCTATTCGTACATCGCGCTCATCGTCATGGCCATCCAGAGCTCGCCCAGCAAGCGCCTGACGCTCAGTGAGATCTACCAGTTCTTGCAGGCGCGCTTTCCCTTCTTCCGCGGCGCCTACCAGGGCTGGAAGAATTCGGTGCGCCACAACCTCTCACTCAACGAGTGCTTCATCAAGCTGCCCAAGGGCCTCGGGCGGCCCGGCAAGGGCCACTACTGGACCATCGACCCGGCCAGCGAATTCATGTTCGAGGAGGGCTCATTCCGCCGCCGGCCGCGCGGCTTCAGGCGGAAGTGCCAGGCGCTCAAGCCTATGTACCACCGCGTGGTGGGCGGCCTGGGCTTCGGGGCCTCGCTGCTGCCCCAAGGCTTCGACTTCCAGGCGCCCCCGGCGGCACCGCTCGGCTGCCACGGCCAGGGCGGCTATGGCGGCCTAGACATGATGCCTGCGGGCTACGACGCCAGCGCGGGCGCCCCGGGCCACGCGCACCCGCACCACCACCACCACCACCACGTCCCGCACATGTCGCCCAACCCGGGCTCCACCTACATGGCCAGCTGCCCGGTGCCTGCCGGGCCCGGGGGCGTCGGCGCAGCTGGCGGCGGTGGCGGCGGAGGGGACTACGGGCCGGACAGCAGCAGCAGCCCCGTGCCCTCGTCCCCGGCTATGGCGAGCGCCATTGAATGCCACTCGCCCTACACGAGCCCCGCGGCGCACTGGAGCTCGCCCGGCGCCTCTCCTTACCTCAAGCAGCCGCCCGCCCTGGCGCCGAGCAGCAACCCCGCAGCCTCTGCAGGCCTGCACTCCAGCATGTCCTCCTACTCGCTGGAGCAGAGCTACCTGCACCAGAACGCCCGCGAGGACCTCTCAGGTAACAACGCAGCTCACCCCGGGCGGCCGGCTGGGGGCGTCCGCATTCAGGCCCCGAGGCCCCTGCTGCTTTCACTCCACCAGGTCGCCACAGCCTGGGGTCTGAGGGCACTAAGGGAGGAGGCAGGTGCTGGCACCTTATTCACAGGATGGGAGGGTATCAGAGGTCTTGCTGCCCTCCCCGACTCCTGGCCAGGAGCCTGGCCTCTGAACTGCACGCCTGCTTGAAGGGTGGTACATCTTCGCCTGCCTTCCTGGAATACCTGGGTGTCTATCGACTGCCGGTCTTCGGTCTCAGGTCAGGGGACTGGGATTCCAGAGGGATTAGCTTTGGGAGAAAGTGTTGTGGCCTTTCTGGATCTTGACCAAGGAGCTTTGTCTATTCAGTCTTTTTTTTTTTTTTAAGTTTGTTTTTAGTTATTTTTGTCCAAAAATAAATGTCAGAAAGCGATGTTCTCTGTGCTGGGCGGAGGGTGTAGATAGGAAGGGGGTTGCAACTGGGCAAGTGCTGAGAGAAGGGAGAGTGAGGGAGGGGCAGAGAGGAAAGCAGAGTCCTAGGCTCTTTCACAAGAGAGAGATTGCCGGTGGGCAGGGCATCCCGCTGTTTAGGAGCTCCACCCCCACCCAGCGGACCCGCGTTGATGACAACTGGATCTGTCCTGGGCTACTAGGACCTGAGGTCAATGCTGTGACTGGGCCTCAGCCCTCATCAATGACTGCTCCTTAAAGCCACTTGTGGTGTTGCTGGTTTAAATTGTGTTGGTAGCAGATTATGAAAATTTATTAACTTGCTAAAGGCAGTGAAAGGTGAGAGAGGATGGATGGGAGTGAATGTGGGGATTTGGCCATTTAGCCAGGTTTATCCAGAGACTGGAGATAAACCCTCTTATATTAACCCCTCCGAGGCAGGCAGGGGCTGGTGCCTCTGGGGTGGCAAGGACAGAAGATGCTTTCACCTTTGTCCTCAATTAGAAAACGTTTCACACAATAACGCATATATTACATAGCCGTGTGTCCATGTGCAACAGGAGGATGGGGAAGAAGGGAGGCCTAGAAATGGGCAAAAGATGTTGGTTCCCTTGACTGTGAAATTTCCCAAATAGGCCTTTTAAATGCGGGTCTCAGAGGTTAACTAAACAAAGACAGTCTCGGCAGGACCACACCGACGAGGATTTTAGCCTGATTTAACCCACTGAGAGCAGAGTCTTGTTCAATTTTATGGGAATTTCAACAAGTAACCAATACAGACGACCCTCCGCTCATTTTTTTAAATCCCTTCAGAGAGTCTGTCAATCACCCTCTCCCCGCCGGACCCGATCTCTGTCTGGCCAGGCCCTACTCAACTTGAACCCAGACTCTCAGGGCATCTGCTGCAGCAGAAACCGCGCTACAGTAGACCGAAGGAAAAAAAAAACAACAACGAAGGAAGGAGATTCCGGACTCTATATAAGGCCTCCCTCGCCCACCCCACCCCCAGACGTACACAAGAGCCACCAGAAATGCGAGGGTCGGGAAACACAACTTTGTGTCGGAGGGAAAGAAAGCCGCGAGCCAGAGCAGGCTGCCCGGCGCCACCGCCCACCGCCCTACAGGCGCAAGACCTTCCCGGAGCCTCGAGGCGTTTGGGCCCGGGCTGGAACGCCCAGGACGCCGTGGCTTGGGCCTGACACCCGCCCGGGATGCTCTGTCCCTTCCTCCCTCGCCCTCTAACTCTCACCTCTTTCAAGTATTCTCCCCTCGGCTCTAGTTGGCATCCCCAAGAAGGTCATGAACGTGAACGGAGAGCCTGAGGGAGCCGAGTCGGGTTCGGAGCGCGCTGCTCGCCTGGCCACGGCCCACCGAGGCGGGAACGAATGGTAGGCGTGGGAGCGCGGGAGGGCGGAGGCTGTGGGCCCCCACTTGGACTCCACGACGGAACGATGGCAGCCAGCACGACCTGATTGGGCTGGGGCGCCGCGCCCGTGAGGAAGCCCCGCGTGCCCTTCTGGAAGGCCGTGTGGGCCTTGGGCGTCGGGACAGCCGCCTTCCGCCGGTAGTGAGAACGCTGCTTCACCGGCCGGCAGGCCCGCTGTTGGAAGGTTTCGGATTGGCCTCAGAGTGTGTTGGCCCCAGACTGTGTTGGAACGCGATAGACGAACATACACGAGCATAGAGCGACAGGCACAAACTGGGGGCACGCCGGGCTCCATGCGTCTTATTAGCGCAGCGCCGCGCGTGCTAGGGTACAATTGGTTTTATCAGTCAATAAACAAAAACCACACCACCAGCCATTTGGCACCTTGTTGCTTCTCCAGCCAGGGGGGCCAGGGCTTGGCAGGGAGGGGGCCCACAGGGCCCAAGTCCCGGCTAGTGGGTGGGTGGGGGCTTTTCTCACATGCCGCAAAGTCTCTCGCAGACTGAATCAAGCCTGCCGTACACGTGCGGGTATAATCACCTGCCACGCGGGTTCGGAGAGAAGGCCTGGGCTAAGCAGCCTCACCAGCCCGGCCGGGCGAGGGGCAGGAGCCTGCCAGCCGTGTCACCGAGACGTCGCTGCCCAGGCCTGCGCCGCCGCCCGAAGGACAAGGCCGCCCCAGGGCCGGGGAGCGCCGGGAAAGCAAAAGTGTTAGACGCGGTCCTTGGCCTGGGGACCGAGGCCCTAGAGGAAGGACCTCAGGGCTGTCTTGGATCGGCCCAATTCGGCTCTCTGTAGGGGTTCTCCGCACCGCCACAGGCCTCGGGGTGTGGAGAAAGTTCGCAAAACTCTGCTCGGGGAAAGTCCGACCTTCCCCAAATTTATCCTCAGACCTATCAGCAGCAGCAAGAGGCATGTGGAGGGCAAGAGGTCTGCGTTTCCTTTTCTGTCCCTTTCTCTGCAGGTAGGGTTTTCTATCATCCTCCTTTGGCACAGGGGATACCCCTGCTGCGGCCCACCACCCTGACCGTGTCAGTTCGCTGGGAGACAAGAAGAAGGCTGAAAAGGAGAGGGGAAGGCCGCGGGGTGTTTCTGGGGCTGGGTGCCTGGCCCTTGCTGCCGCCCAAGCGAGGGCAGCACGGCACCGCGCCGCCGAGGTCGGGACCCAGCACCTGGATCAGATTGTCGTCAGTGCTCAACCTGGGATGAGAGCGCTTGCCCTAGCCTCAGGGGAGGCTGAATAGGGGGGTTCAGGCATATAACAACGCGGCTTAGAGGGGAACTTGCTCCACGTTTGTGTGTGCAGTAAAACAAAACAAAACATGATTCCAGAGTATCTTATGACAACAGTTTGAAACTGAGAAACTTCCAGAGCTATGTTTTCTCTACTAGTTTTATAGCAATATACAAAAGACACACCAGCCCTTCTTATATCCTAACACAAGTTAAATAAAATTACAAAAATAATAATGTACCAGGTCATTACCTGGATAAATTTGTTTCTGAAAACAGATTTTCTTCTTTCTTCTTTCAGTGGGACTGCCTCGTTACCAGCATCACTCTACCCCAGTGTGTGACAGAAAAGACTTCGTTCTCAATTTTAATGGCATTTCTTCTTTCCACCCCTCAGCTAGTGGGTCATACTATCACCACCACCACCACCAGAGTGTCTGTCAGGACATTAAGCCCTGTGTCATGTGAATGGACAGACACTCCCACGGCAGTCCTCTCCTCACGGGGCCAGATACAGACTCTGGTGGACTCACGAGGTCAGACATAATGTGCACGCAGATAGCAGTGAGTAGCACGCTGGTCACTTAGTCCCAGTACCCAGGACAACATTGTTAACTGGTGTCTTCTACCAGTGACAGCAGGACGACCCCTGGCAAGGTGATGCTCAGAATACATGCAGGCACCCAAGGAGAAAGTATCTTCCTCAGTGGAGACGTTAAAAACTAACTTGATGAAAAACATAAACATGTAACTCTGGGATCTCCACTGCCTTCAGTAATCGGGGTCTGAACAAAGCAGACAAGCTGTGTTTTGTTTTGTTTTTTCTTTGTCAGTGAGAACTTGTTTGCTTTTTTAAAAGGAAGTGCTAAGCACAAGATTTCAAGAAATCCTCATCTTGTTGCTTAGCTAAATAGCAGAGTCCTGTTTTGCCAAACACTACTTTTGGTTGCAGGTGCCAGAGTGTTTAAAAATAATGTGCCTGGTTTAAGAAAATGATTTTCAGTATTATGACAATACAACATTTTTATGAGGGTGTTTTCTACCACCATATTTTAAAGATATTTTTATGATCATTGTGTATACTCACACTCTTGCTTGTAGTTTAAAAGGAGGATATATTTGCACTTATGTATACTTCTAAAGTTTGCCAAAATATTTTGATGTACAATTTTTTCAATAAAATGTATATAACAAATAGTTGTGGAGGGACATATTTCCTCTGCGGGCATCCTGGAAGGCCCAGTCCCTTCTCCCCCAGCCAGTAATGCAACTCTACACTACTTCCCCCAGTTGTCTAATTGACGTGGTGTGGGGTCTGTGCCGCTAGTAACCCAGGCCAAGTTCTGACTGCAGGTTTTCTCAGGAGGGAAAGAGAAGAAGAGAAGTTTTCTGTTATTTCTTTTTTCCTTCACCCTAGCTTTTTCTGGCTAAACAAAAACCAGACAGTGAAAGGACAAGATCATGAAAGGCAAGTTTGATTTGAGGAAGCCAGGTTTTGTGCCCCTTTTGTTTTGTCTCCTTTGCCCAAGGAGAGCTTTGCCTCTTGCTCTTTCCTCTTCCCCACCAGCCCAGGGACAGGTTAGAGGTGGGGCTGAGTGGAAAATGGCCACCTAGGCTTCCCAGCCTCCTGAATGGGATGGCAGCGGGAAAAGGGTGAGGAGCTCAAGGAACAGCGGGGCAATCTGCATGAATCCCAAAGAGTTTTTACACTTCTTCAAAGAGTAATTTTTACTCTAGCTCCCCCAGAAGCAAAGATTCAGGCCTACAGAGCAAGCTGCAGCTGCTGTCTCTCTCCACCTCAAACTCAGGGTCTGCCCTGCTTGGCTGCGCCTCTCAACCCAAATGCATTTCTCCCTCCTCTCCACTGTCCCCTCTACCCCTCTTTAGGGACTGGTTGGTTTCCTTCCTTTCAACAAGAGACCTAACAATTTCTTTCCCTCAGGACTTTATCAGAACTTTCTTGCTAGGTTTCCCAAGACATCAAACCATGAATGTGCAAGACATAGCTGGAGAAGCTCTGAATTAAAGAGAGAAAATATTGGGCCAACTAGGCAGGCGCCAGCCTCTGTCTGACCAGTCCCTCAGATTCATGGGCAGGGTTGACGCCTCTTGCCTGAGCAGGGGCAGAGAAATTCTCAGTCACAATCGTGATCATGTTGTGGACGTTTTTCTCTCCAACTCTTGGTTATTTTTGCTTTACTTTGCTTTATTCCCTTCCCTGATTAGAAAACACACCTTTGTTTCTCCTTGCCTAAAAAAATCTTTCTCCCAATCAATTACTTGCACTGAACACTACTCAATAGATACCTCACACATGGGGTTTTTGTGTTACAATTGAATCCAAAGACAGTCACGTTTGTAAAACACCTTGTTTCAGAAAGTCTTAGCTATCTCCCTAATCCTTAGGCTTCCTTCTTATATTTTCCAGAGTTAAGCAGTGATTTAAAATTTTTTTTGTATCTCCATTATCATATTTGCAGTTAAACAGGGCTTTTTCCCCCCTTTTCTTTTAAGCTGAGCTACTCTGGGCCTGCTATAAATTATAAAGTCAGTTTCAGCGTTTGCTCCGACCACAGTGATGTGTTTACATTCCTTCCAAGGCAGCCTGCATGGTCGTAATTTATATCCTAAACACTTGAACGTAACTTGTTTATACAGAGAATGACAGGACCTCAAAGACAAAAAAACTGCGCGTCTGAGCGACCGCATTAAAAAGGTTAGCACGCCCCCTAGTGGAACGAGGAGACCGCAGCTAGAGATTCAAGTTTCTTTCAAGCTGTGCAGTATTTAAAACACCAAACCTGTTGCCATCTTTCCGATTCATAGCGACCCTATAGGACAGAGTAGAACTGCCCTACAGGGTTTCCAAGGGTGTAAATCTTTACGGAAGCAGGCGGCCACACCTTTTTCCAGAGGAGAGGCTGGTGGGTTTGAACTGCCAACCTTTGGTTAGCAGCTGAGCGCTTTAACCACTGCACCACTAGGGTTCCTCATTTAAAACAAGAACTTAAAAAAAAAACATTTTGTGGTGCTCTTCCAACAGAGATATTTATTATTATTACTTTTAGGAAATATACTTTCTGATTTTAGGACATACTTTTGCTTTTTCTGTTTTACTCTTTCCGTTTAATGCCTTGCTCTGATTCGTTGACAGCAAGCCTGACTATACTCCCTGTGTGCCGGTGAGTCAATTCTGACTTATAGCCCCATGTGACAGAGTAGAACTGCCCCATAGGGTTTTCTTGGCTACATTCTTCAGGGAAACAGATCACCAGGTCTTTCTCCTGAGGAGCCGCTGGGTAGGTTCAAACCACCAACCTTTCCTTTAGTAGCCAAATGCTTAACCATTGCATCGCCAGGACTTCTTGACCATACTTAATAGGTGTTGTAAAAAATTTCTGACTTGCCATATTTGTAATCTTTATTTCTAGATTTCTTCTCAAATAACAAAGTTGTTTTCTTCCCCTCTAAGCCAAAATTGCTTGCAATAAAAGATCTCCTTCTCCCCTAACTGGCCCTGCAGACACACACATGTGCACACACACTTACATCCATTTATTCCCCCCCACCCCTTTTCTTGGGCAAAACATGCAGTGCTTGGCTTTAAATGTTGCTCAAATGTTAGTGATTAGTTCTAAAGCAAGTGCTACACTGTACTTAGGAGTGAAAAAAATTGAACTAATTCAAAGGGAGGTCAATGCCTCAATTATTTTATTAACAAATGTATTTTGAAAGCTTACAGTTTCTGCTCATTAAATACTAATGTGTATGTAAAAAGGCATTTGATTATTTTGTGTAAGAATTGTGATGTTCTTTATTTTTTGGTTTTTTAGTGAGGGCTGTATAAGTAAAGAGCCAAGGAGTCAGGTAAATAGAGAGCATGAGTCACACAGTTCTCTCGGTTCATCCTTTCAGAGTCTGTGATGGGAGTATTTGATCCTTCCTACAGGTCTGCACAAGTCCATGTGGCTGTCAGGGTTCACAACATCTCTTCTGACTTCAGTTTGTATCCTACATTTCCCCAATGTTGCACATGATGACTGCATCTGACGTTACAGACATAGGAGCAGTGTCCATCTTTGCTCTAAGTAGTGCTTCCCAAACATGAGCATGCAGCAGAATAACGTAGAAGACCTGTGAAACAAAGACTGCTGGGCTTTCCCCAGTTTGTGTCCTTAAAGAGTCCCCAGTGATGTTGATGGTGTTGGTCCAAGGTCTACACTGTGAAAACCACTGCTCTAGAAAAGCAACCTGAATTGCAGATATTTTATAGGTTTAGATGAGTAGATGTTAAGGCTGGTCCATTAAGTAGTTTAGGAAAGATCTAAAAAGTGTTTTCAAAAATAATTTGTCCATCCAAATATCTCTTTGATTGATTACTGGCCCCTGGGGAACTGTAGGGTCAAATTTTGAAGTCTATTCTAGAAAATGGGACACCTCATTTTTATTCAAAGCAGTAAGGCCTCCGATTTTATTCTAGTAAACTTGCAGAGAGGAGTCAGGTGGAGTCACTGAGGTCTGCCTGCTTCAGTCGGGAGACAGGTCTAGCTATCTACACACAGAGTTCTCCAAGCAGAAGGAGGTAGTGGTTGGAGCAGGAGGAAAAAGAAATTCCCTCATTGGTTGTAAAACCTTTTAAGGGTGGAACAGAGAGAAGGGCTGTGATGTCAGTGTGCAGCAAGCTTGATCCCTAGATACAAGTGGGTCAGGTAGGACCATGTATATGTGCGTGTTTGTGTGTGTGAGAGAGAGAGAGAGAAAAGGAAGGAGAAAGACATCTTGAAAGGAGGAGGCTCTGAAAAATATCTCCTGAGTTCCTGTCCACAGTGAGCCTTAAAAATGGACTGAGCTCCTCTGAGGCACCGTAGTCTCTTCAAGTCTCCATGCTTTCATTTGCCTTTTGGTTGAAAGACCTGCATACTTTGTTTTTCTTGGCTTCCTACTGGATTCAGGTGAGTAAGCAAATTCTCTACTCATGCATGCTCAAAGTCTCTGAACTGCTGCAGCAACATTTAGAGAATTTAGGGAGGAAAATCTTGCCTTATGTTTTAGAAAGCAGCAGTCCGAAGAGGATCACCAGGCTCATAGCACAAGCCACTGAGTAGTATTAAAATGTAATCATCACCTCCTTCCTGGAAGGAAAATGATCTTGTAGATTCATATATGCCTAATTACTGTGCATCATGGTGATTAATTCAAAATAGGCACCAACTTTTTTAGGATGGAAATATATTTTATCAGAACAGAAATGCATGTTACCAAACTTGCCCCTACGAAACACTGTCTTCCCAAGGAAAAGCACCACAGATTCAGACGCTGGGCCAGTGAGGGCCACAGCACACGGAAGTTGGGGTCACTGGGGAAGAATGGAAGTCCTGGGAGTTCTTTTGGAGTTCAGAATGCCCCGGTGCTCAGCAGAGAGATGCATATTCAGTCAAATCGCGGGGGCATGCAGGATGCAGGACACT